TGTCTCAGCTTGAGATGATGTCTCAGCTTGAGATGTCTCAGCTTGAGATGATGTCTCAGCTTGAGATGTCTCAGCTTGAGATGATGTCTTAGCTTGAGATGATGTCTCAGCTTGAGATGTCTCAGCTTGAGATTATGTCTTAGCTTGAGATGTCTCAGCTTGAGATGATGTCTCAGCTTGAGAAGATGTCTCAGCTTGAGAAGATGTCTCAGCTTAAGATGATGTCTTAGCTTGAGATGTCTCAGCTTGAGATGTCTCAGCTTGAGATGTCTTAGCTTGAGATGATGTCTTAGCTTGAGATGTCTCAGCTTGAGATGATGTCTCAGCTTGAGATGTCTCAGCTTGAGATGATGTCTCAGCTTGAGATGTCTCAGCTTGAGATGTCTCAGCTTGAGATGTCTCAGCTTGAGATGATGTCTCAGCTTGAGATGATGTCTCAGCTTGAGATGATGTCTCAGCTTGAGATGATGTCTCAGCTTGAGATGATGTCTCAGCTTGAGATGATGTCTCAGCTTGAGATGTCTCAGCTTGAGATGTCTCAGCTTGAGATGATGTCTCAGCTTGAGATGATGTCTCAGCTTGAGATGATGTCTCAGCTTGAGATGTCTCAGCTTGAGATGATGTCTCAGCTTGAGATGTCTCAGCTTGAGCTGATGTCTCAGCTTGAGATGATGTCTCAGCTTGAGATGATGTCTCAGCTTGAGATGATGTCTCAGCTTGAGATGATGTCTCAGCTTGAGATGATGTCTCAGCTTGAGATGTCTCAGCTTGAGATGATGTCTCAGCTTGAGATGATGTCTCAGCTTGAGATGATGTCTCAGCTTGAGATGTCTCAGCTTAAGATGTCTTAGCTTGAGATGATGTCTTAGCTTGAGATGTCTCAGCTTGAGATGATGTCTCAGCTTGAGATGATGTCTCAGTTTGAGATGATGTCTCAGCTTGAGATGTCTCAGCTTGAGATGATGTCTCAGCTTGAGATGATGTCTCAGCTTGAGATGATGTCTCAGCTTGAGATGATGTCTCAGCTTGAGATGATGTCTCAGCTTGAGATGATGTCTCAGCTTGAGATGATGTTTCAGCTTGAGATGTCTCAGCTTGAGATGATGTCTCAGCTTGAGATGTCTCAGCTTGAGATGTCTCATGTTCAGTTCGAGATATTATAGTCAGCCTAATGTTATTGTGTGTGTGTGTGTGTGTCTGCGGGTTTGTTTGTCTGTGTGTGTATCTGTGTGTGTGTTTGTGTCTTCGCGCGTGAGTGCGTGTTTGTTTGTGTGTATGTGTCTGTGTGTGTTTCTGTGGGTGTGTTTGTGTGTGCATGTGCGTTTCTTTATGTATGTATGTGTGTGGAATGTGTGTGTATGTATGTATGTATGTATGTGTGTGTATGTGTGTGTGTGAATGTATGTTGATATACGCTTATTTAAGTGAGTGTGTGTGCCTATGTTTGTGGGTATGTTTGTGTGTGTGTTTGCGCGTGTGCATTTTGTTTTATCACCCATGCTTTCGTGTTTTTTCTTGATATTCACAATATGCATATTATTTTGTGAATATAACATGCTTTTTTGATAAAATACAACTGCCGTGTGAAAGGCCATTGTTTGGAAGGGCTGAATGTAAGACGGGCCTGCGTGCCCAATTTGTGACATTTTGAAAATAAATTTCATTCGTTCGTTTTCTCTCAAGCACGCATGCGCGTAGAATCCCCCCCCCCCCCCCAAACCCCACTCAGCTGTAACTTAATTTGAAAAGAACGTGGGATTGCCCCAAAACTCCAGGGGGTTGTTGGCTGATATCTGTGTCTGCTTGATGTTGTTATCTAACTAATGATTTCGGCTCCTACTTCATTCTCACCTGCCACACCTGGCTGCTGACGTGGCATCTTCACTACTTACAACTCAATAATCTCATCATCATCATGTGCCTCGCCGGTGTCTTACAGATCTGGGTCATAATGGAAAGTGTTATCTGAAGTTGCCAGATCGCTGGATCTATCTTCACCAATGTTACGTGTGCTGTGTCTTCTGTGTATGCTAGCCGTTGATGTCATCCTCTATGTCACTTCCGGTGTGATTTATGTTGATGTCATGTCCGGTATGTCGTCCATTTCTGTTACTTTCACTTTGATGTCGTTTCTGCTGTGACATTCCGTAATGACATTTCTAGTTCATACCACTTCCGATATCTTATCCCCAGTCATCACTTGCGTCCTGTCTTTCTGTGACGTCCACTTTAGGAGGAGAAGTAACAAACACCGTAAAGCTAACCATCCACTGACCCTGCCTCAGCTCACTGTTGTTGACTGTGCGTGGACAAATCCTCACATTCACCTCTAAAGCAAATATGGGAGAGAATGAGGTCAGAATTGAGACGATTTAACCGCCAATTTACGTGACCAGATAGCACCTGTCTGTGACATGTCTCCCACACAAGTGCAGCCTTCTACATCCCTGTCATTGTCTGTTACATATCTCCCACACAAGTGCAGCCTTCTACATCCCCGTCATTGTCTGTTACATATCTCCCACACAAGTGCAGATTTCTACATCCCCATCATTGTCTGTTACATATCTCCCACACAAGTGCAGCCTTCTACATCCCCGTCCCTGTCTGTTACATATCTCCCACACAAGTGCAGCCTTCTACATCCCCGTCCCTCTCTGTGACATGTCTCCCACACAAGTGCAGCCTTCTACATCCCCGTCCCTCTCTGTGACATGTCGCCCACACAAGTGCAGCCTTCTACATCCCCGTCCCTCTCTGTTACATGTCTCCCACACAAGTGCAGCCTTCTACATCCCCGTCCCTCTCTGTTACATGTCTCCCACACAAGTGCAGCCTTCTACATCCCCGTCATTGTCTGTTACATGTCTCCCACACAAGTGCAGCCTTCTACATCCCCGTCCCTGTCTGTGACATGTTGGCCACACAAGTGCAGCCTTCTACATCCCTGTCATTGTCTGTTACATGTCGCCCACACAAGTGCAGCCTTCTACATCCCTGTCATTGTCTGTTACATGTCGCCCACACAAGTGCAGCCTTCTACATCCCCGTCCCTCTCTGTTACATATCTCCCACACAAGTGCAGCCTTCTACATCCCCGTCCCTCTCTGTGACATGTCGCCCACACAAGTGCAGCCTTCTACATCCCCGTCCCTCTCTGTTACATGACTCCCACACAAGTGCAGCCTTCTACATCCCTGTCATTGTCTGTTACATGTCGCCCACACAAGTGCAGCCTTCTACATCCCTGTCATTGTCTGTTACATGTCTCCCACACAAGTGCAGCCTTCTACATCCCCGTCCCTCTCTGTGACATGTTGCCCACACAAGGGCAGCCTTCTACATTCCCGTCCTTGTATGTGACATGTCGCCCACACAAGTGCAGCCTTCTACATCCCCGTCCTTGTCTGAGGGTCATTCATGGTCTCCTGTTGGGCTTCAGACACATCTACACCATGGGATTTCTGGCAACTTCTTTAATGATGTCATATTGTGAAAATCATCATTGTCAAATTGAGGGCCATTTGCCGAGGCTTGGTCCCATCACAGTGGGTAATCTACTTGACTTCACACCAGTATGATTAACTACACACTGATCTACGTATTAATCTGCTTGACTAAAAATCAACCCACTTGGTGATCTACTTACCTACACTCTGACAAATTTTCCTACACACCACTTTAGTTACTAATCTACTTGCCTACACACCACTTTAGTTACTAATCTACTTGCCTACACACCACTTTAGTTACTAATCTACTTGCCTACACACCACTTTAGTTACTAATCTACTTGCCTACACACCACTTTAGTTACTAATCTACTTGCCTACACACCACTTTAGTTACTAATCTACTTGCCTACACACCACTTTAGTTACTAATCTACTTGCCTACAAACTAACCAACCTACCAGTCAACTCACCTGCACGCCGATCTACTTACTCTTCTATGTTCCACTACACATCTGTGTCTGTATGTGGCTTTGTGTGTATCTGTGTGAGTCTCTATCGGTGTGTCTATTATATAATGTCTGCGTGTCTCTGTTTGTGTCGGGTTATGCGTCTGCGTGTATGTCTGTGTGCGTATGTGTGACTGTGCGTGTCTGTGTGTGTATACCTGTGTATGTGTGGGTGTTGCGTATGTCTATGTGTGTGTCTGTTTCCCTGCCTTTATGTGTGTATGTGTTTGTGTGTGCCCGTGACTGCATGTGTGTGTGTCTGTATGTGTCTGGGTTGTATGCGTGTGTGTTTTAGAGCGTGTGTATGTGTGTGTATGTATGTATGTATGTATGTATGTATTTTTGTATGTGTGTATGTGAGTTTGTATGTATGTATGTACGTACGTATGTATGTATGTATGTATGTGTGTATGTATGTATGTAAGTATGTATGTATGTGTGAGTGTGCATGTTCGTGTGTATGTGGATGTATGTGTGTACTGGGTGCCTATGTGTTTGTGTGTAAGTGGGTGATTGGGCTTGTGTGTGTATGTGAGTGTGTGTGTTCGCGAGTGAGCGTGCGCACATATTTTACCACCCATGCTTTTGTTTTTGACTTCATATCCATAATATGCATATCATTACATGAATATAACATGCTTCATTGATGAAATACAACTGCTGTGTGAAAGATGGAAGTATGGAAGGGCCGAATGTAAGACAGGCCTGCGTGCCTAATTTGTAACCCTTTGAAAATAAAGTTCGTTCGTTCGTTCGTTCGTTCGTACACTGATCTACTTTCCAGTCTACTTACATAACATTGATCTAAATGTTGATTACTAATCTTGCTGCCTACACATCTGTCTTATTTATAATCTACTTGTCTTTATATAATTATGCCTCATAATCTTCTTGCCTACACATTGGTCTACATTTTAATCCAATAGCCTACACACCAATATACATTCTAATCTACTTGCCTACATATTTATAATCCACTTGCCTACCCACTGCCTGCCCACTTGCTTCTTACTGAGTGACACGTTTTCATTTATTGCAGGAAATTTGTGACAACCCAGAGTGGATCACTTCCGGTGCCAGTCGATTCGATGTTCGCCAGGGAGAGCTGGGTAAGAGGAAGTGGTTGTGGGGTAATGAGTTAGAGTGGAGAAGTGGTTGTGGGGTAATAAGTTAGAGTGGAGAAGTGGTTGTGGGGTAATAAGTTAAAGTGGGGAAGTGGTTGTGGGGTAATGAGTTAGAGTGGAGAAGTGGTTGTGGGGTAATGAGTTAGTGTGGGGAAGTGGTTGTGGGGTAATGAGTTAGAGTGGAGAAGTGGTTGTGGGGTAATGAGTTAGAGTGGAGAAGTGGTTGTGGGGTAATGAGTTAGAGTGGAGAAGTGGTTGTGGGGTAATGAGTTAGAGTGGAGAAGTGGTTGTGGGGTAATGAGTTAGTGTGGAGAAGTGGTTGTGGGGTAATGAGTTAGAGTGGAGAAGTGGTTGTGGGGTAATGAGTTAGTGTGGGGAAGTGGTTGTGGGGTAATGAGTTAGAGTGAAGAAGTGGTTCTGGGGTAATGAGTTGGAGTGGAGAAGTGGTTGTGGGGTAATGAGTTAGAGTGGAGAAGTGGTTGTGGGGTAATGAGTTAGAGTGGGGAAGTGGTTGTGGGGTAATGAGTTAGAGTGGAGAAGTGGTTGTGTGGTAATGAGTTAGAGTGGAGAAGTGGTTGTGGGGTAATGAGTTAGAGTGGAGAAGTGGTTGTGTGGTAATGAGTTAGAGTGGAGAAGTGGTTGTGGGGTAATGAGTTAGAGTGGAGAAGTGGTTGTGGGGTAATGAGTTAGAGTGGAGAAGTGGTTGTGTGGTAATGAGTTAGAGTGGAGAAGTGGTTGTGGGGTAATGAGTTAGAGTGGGGAAGTGGTTGTGGGGTAATGAGTTAGAGTGGAGAAGTGGTTGTGGGGTAATGAGTTAGAGTGGAGAAGTGGTTGTGTGGTAATGAGTTAGAGTGGAGAAGTGGTTGTGGGGTAATGAGTTAGTGTGGGGAAGTGGTTGTTGGGTAATGAGTTAGTGTGGGGAAGTGGTTGTGGGGTAATAAGTTAGAGTGGAGAAGTGGTTGTGGGGTAATGAGTTAGAGTGGAGAAGTAGTTGTGGGGTAATGAGTTAGAGTGGAGAAGTGGTTTGTGTGGGGAAGAGAATCATGCGAGGAAGTCATTTGTGTGGGGAAGTCGTTTGTGTGGGAAAATGAATCATATGGAGATGTCATTTGTGTGGGAAAATAATGTGGAAAAGTCATTTGTGTGGTATTTTGTGTTGTAGAAGTCATTTGTTTGGGTAAGCCATTTTTGTGAAAGTAAATCATATGGGGGAAGTGATTTGTATAAGGGAATTGTGTGAATTTTTAGTTAGCTATGAAAGTTGCATTCTTAGGTTGAATCACCTCCATTGCAAGAACTAATTCCTCTTCCATCTATTGAACACATCAAGCTTATTCGTGTGAGTTTCCTGCAGTTTCTCCCTGAGATTCTCATGGTTTGTACTGTCCATTGATTTCTGTTTCTTATCCAGGCAACAGTGCAGCTTTTATGTTCTGTTAGGTTTTGCTGAAAACTTCATTAGAAATGTCAGACAGTTCCATGACAAATACTGCTTTCAGCATATATAATGCTAACTTTCTCCTTTCTTTGCTGTTTTGTTCTTTCCAAACATTTTACCTCAGATTCTAAAACTCATCTGCTACCGACTCTAAGACAGTCAATGCTATCAGCGACTCATCTGTAGACTCTTGCATGACTACTTGTGTCTATCGTAAATAGGTTGCCTGTAAGTAAAGTAAAGATCCCTTTACACGCCCTTAGGCGCATCGTGCATATGGGAAGAGCACCCATATTTTTCAGACCAATCGGCACTCTGTGGATAATGTGGTCAGCATTACGCCGGCCTGTGAAGATAGTAAATTTTTTGCCTAATAGAAATATTTGAAATTATTTGTGAGTTTGATTAGATTCCAATGGAATAGGTAACATGTGTATGTAATATTAGAAATATGTCTATGTCATGTAATGTGTAGATATATATGTCTCTGTGATGCTGCAGATATATGTGTAAGTGATATTAAACATGTATGTATGTGTGATGTTACAGATATATGTGAATTCGATATTCGAGATATATGTATGTGTGAATATATGTGTATATGATATTAGAGATATATATATATATGTCTGTGTGATGCTACAGATATATTTGAATGTGATATTAGATATATATGTCTGTGTGATGCTGCAGATATATGTGTATGTGAAAATAGAGATATATATGCCTGTGTGATGTTACAGATATATTTAAATGTGATATTTAAAAATGTATGCATGTGTGATGTTACAGATATTTGTGAATTTGATGTTAGAGATATATGTATGTGTGAGATATATGTATATGTGATATTAGAGACATATATGTCTGTGTGATGTTGCAGATATATGTGTATGTGATATTAGATATATATGTCTGTATGATGTTGCAGATATATGTGTGTGTGATATTAGAGATATATATGTCTGTATGATGTTGCAGATATATGTGTATGTGATATTAAAGATATATGTCTGTATGATTTTGCAGATATATGTGTGTGTGATATTAGAGATATATGTCTGTATGATGTTGCAGATATATGTGTATGTGATATTAAAGATATATGTCTGTATGATGTTGCAGATATATGTGTATGTGATATTAGAGATATATGTCTGTATGATGTTGCAGATATATGTGTATGTGATATTAGAGATATATGTCTGTATGATGTTACAGATATATGTGTATGTGATATTAGAGATATATGTCTGAATGATGTTGCAGATATATGTGTATGTGATATTAGAGATATATGTCTGTATGATGTTGCAGATATATGTGTATGTGATATTAGAGATATATGTCTGTATGATGTCGCCTCTCTTATTTTTACTGGCAATAGACTGGACTATGAAAACAGTAACTGCTAACACCAAGAATGGAATTCAGTGGATCCCTACAAAACAGCTTGATGATCTGGACTTCGCTGATGATATTGCTCTTCTGTCCATTCACGGAATCAGATACAAGATAAATTAAATATACTTAATGCGAGATCACAGCAGCTTGGTCTGAAAATCCATAAAGGAAAGACAAAGATAATGAGAATAAATCAGGCAAATAGTAATGTGGTTTCTCTTAATGGCACCCCACTCCAAGTCGTGGAGTCGTACACGTATTTAGGCAGCAATGTAGATAAAGATGGAGGAACTGATAGAGAAATTAAAATTAGAATACAAAAGGCAAGAGATGCTTTCATAGCACTAGGGAATTTGTGGAGGTCAAAAGAAATTAAAAGAAATACTAAACTAAAAATTTTTAATTCTAATGTCAAATCAGTACTATTGTATGTGGCGGAAACATGAAGAACAACAAAGGCAACTACTAATAAATTACAGACATTCATTAACTGGTGCCTGCGCAGAATAGAGGGAATAAAATAGTATGATAGAATAACTAATGTAGAACTTTGGGAGAGAACTAAACAGGCTCCAGTGGATCAGGAGGTGAGGAAAAGACGCTGGCGTTGGATAGGGCACACACTGAGAAAACAGGAGAACAGCATAACTAGAATGTCTTTGCATTGGAACCCACAGGGGTATAGGAATAAAGGAAGGCCAAAAAACACATGGAGAAGAGAGCTCGAGAATGAGTTTAGAAAGATTGGGAGGACATGGGGAGAGCTCCATGCAATGGCGAAGGATAGAACGACTTGGCGTGAGTTGGTTGAGGGCCTATGCTCCATTGGGGGATAGAAAGGCAGAAGAAGAAGAAGATATTAGAGATATATGTCTGTATGATGTTACAGATAAATGTGTATGTGATATTATAGATTATATGTCTGTATGATGTTACAGTTATATGTGTATGTGATTTTAGAGATATATGTCTGTATGATGTTACAGTTATATGTGTATGTGATTTTAGAGATATATGTCTGTATGATGTTACAGTTATATGTGTATGTGATTTTAGAGATGTATGTCTGTATGATGTTACAGTTATATGTGTATGTGATTTTAGAGATATATGTCTGTATGATGTTACAGATATATGTGTATGTGATATTCGAGATGTATGTCTGTATGATGTTACAGATATATGTGTATGTGATGTTAGAGATATATGTCTGTATGATGTTACAGATATATGTGTATGTGATATTAGAGCTATATGTCTGTATGATGTTACAGATATATGTGTATGTGATGTTAGAGATGTATGTCTGTATGATGTTACAGATATATGTGTATGTGATGTTAGAGATATATGTCTGTATGATGTTACAGATATATGTGTATGTGATGTTAGAGATATAATCTAACTGTTGCCTCGTCTCCCCCATATACAGGAGATTGCTGGTTGCTCGCGGCTGTGGCCTCTCTGACCTGTAACCCCAAACTCTTTAGTTTTGTGGTGGACCCCAACCAGTCTTTCACCGAGAACTACTGCGGCATTTTCAAGTAAGCAGTCTCTTCAATGGACAAATTTTTGATAACTGAACTTGATTGTTAGGTCGACCCATGACTACCAGGTCATGTCCTGGGAAGTAAAGGCGGCTGGCATGAAATTGAGCACATCACACATTGAGTGCCAAGAGCTGTATAAGAAATTGAGCACATCACACATTGAGTGCCAAGAGCTGTATAAGAAATTGAGTACATCACACATTGAGTGCCAAGAGCTCTATAAGAAATTGAGCACATCACACATTGAGTGCCAAGAGCTGTATAAGAAATTGAGCACATCACACATTGAGTGCCAGGAGCTCTATAAGAAATTGAGCACATCACACATTGAGTGCCAAGAGCTGTATAAGAAATTGAGCACATCACACATTGAGTGCCAAGAGCTGTATAAGAAATTGAGCACATCACACATTGAGTGCCAGGAGCTGTATAAGAAATTGAGCACATCACACATTGAGTGCCAAGAGCTCTGTAAGAAATTGAGCACATCACACATTGAGTGCCAGAAGCTCTATAAGAAATTGAGCACATCACACATTGAGTGCCAGGAGCTCTATAAGAAATTGAGCACATCACACATTAAGTGCCAAGAGCTGTATAAGAAATTGAGCACATCACACATTGAGTGCCAGGAGCTCTATAAGAAATTGAGCACATCACACATTAAGTGCCAAGAGCTGTATAAGAAATTGAGCACATCACACATTGAGTGCCAGGAGCTCTATAAGAAATTGAGCACATCATACATTGAGTGCCATGCGCTGTATAAGAAATTGAGCACATCACACATTGAGTGCCAGGAGCTCTATAAGAAATTGAGCACATCACACATTGAGTGCCAGGAGCTCTATAATTAATTGAGCACATCACACATTGAGTGCCAAGAGCTGTATAAGAAATTGAGCACATCATACATTGAGTGCCAGGAGCTCTATAAGAAATTGAGCACATCACACATTGAGTGCCAAGAGCTGTATAAGAAATTGAGCACATCACACATTGAGTGCCAGGAGCTCTATAAGAAATTGAGCACATCATACATTGAGTGCCAAGAGCTGTATAAGAAATTGAGCACATCACACATTGAGTGCCAGGAGCTCTATAAGAAATTGAGCACATTACACATTGAGTGCCAGGAGCTCTAAAAGAAATTGAGCACATCACACATTGAGTGCCAGGAGCTGTATAAGAAATTGAGCACATCACACATTGAGTGCCAGGAGCTCTATAAGAAATTGAGCACATCACACATTGAGTGCCAGGAGCTCTATAAGAAATTGAGCACATCACACATTGAGTGCCAGGAGCTGTATAAGAAATTGAGCACATCACACATTGAGTGCCAGGAGCTCTATAAGAAATTGAGCACATCACACATTGAGTGCCAGGAGCTCTATAAGAAATTGAGCACATCACACATTGAGTGCCAGGAGCTCTATAAGAAATTGAGCACATCACACATTGAGTGCCAGGAGCTGTATAAGAAATTGAGCACATCACACATTGAGTGCCAAGAGCTGTATAAGAAATTGAGCACATCACACATTGAGTGCCAGGAGCTCTATAAGAAATTGAGCACATCACACATTGAGTGCCAGGAGCTGTATAAGAAATTGAGCACATCACACATTGAGTGCCAAGAGCTGTATAAGAAATTGAGCACATCACACATTGAGTGCCAAGAGCTGTATAAGAGATTGAGCACATCACACATTGAGTGCCAGGAGCTCTATAAGAAATGTAGCACATCACACATTGAGCGCCAGGAGCTCTATAAGAAATTGAGTCCATATTCATACAGCCTGTCTCAGTTACTTGGGAAGGACCCTTAAGTTGAGTTACTGGTGTGCCCTATGACACACGTGATCATGGTAACTTGATATTTTGATTTTCTTGAAAAATACAAAGACAATGCCATAACTGACTGTTTAAATATGAAGGGGAAATTCACATGTTAAGTTATTTGTATAGATGCAAGGGAATGAACTTGGGGGCTAGAATGGGCAGTAGACTAGAAATGTTGAATTGCCTAAGTCTTTCCTAGGGACAGAATCATGGCAGACTGTTGTTAGCACCTTTCTGTCTTGCCAAAAGATAGTCTGTTGTTGTTAGCACCTTTCTGTCTTGCTAAAAGATAGTCTGTTGTTGTTAGCACTTTTCTGTCTTGCTAAAAGATAGTCTGTTGTTGTTAGCACCTTTCTGTCTTGCCAAAAGATAGTCTGTTGTTGTTAGCACCTTTCTGTCTTGCTAAAAGATAGTCTGTTGTTAGCACCTTTCTGTCTTGCTAAAAGATATTTTGTTGTTGTTAGCACCTTTTTGTCTTGCCAAAAGATAGTCTGTTGTTGTTAGCACCTTTTTGTCTTGCCAAAAGATAGTCTGTTGTTAGCACATTTCTGTCTTGCTAAAAGATAGTCTGTTGTTGTTAGCACCTTTCTGTCTTGCTAAAAGATAGTCTGTTGTTGTTAGCACCTTTTTGTCTTGCCAAAAGATAGTCTGTTGTTGTTAGCACCTTTCTGTCTTGCTAAAAGATAGTCTGTTGTTGTTAGCACCTTTTTGTCTTGCCAAAAGATAGTCTGTTGTTGTTAGCACCTTTCTGTCTTGCTTAATGATAGTCTGTTGTTGTTAGCACCTTTTTGTCTTGCCAAAAGATAGTCTGTTGTTGTTAGCACCTTTTTGTCTTGCCAAAAGATAGTCTGTTGTTGTTAGCACCTTTCTGTCTTGCTAAAAGATAGTCTGTTGTTGTTAGCACCTTTTTGTCTTGCCAAAAGATAGTCTGTTGTTGTTAGCACCTTTCTGTCTTGCTTAATGATAGTCTGTTGTTGTTAGCACCTTTTTGTCTTGCCAAAAGATAGTCTGTTGTTGTTAGCACCTTTTTGTCTTGCCAAAAGATAGTCTGTTGTTAGCACCTTTCTGTCTTGCTAAAAGATAGTCTGTTGTTGTTAGCACCTTTCTGTCTTGCTAAAAGATAGTCTGTTGTTGTTAGCACCTTTCTGTCTTGCCAAAAGATAGTCTGTTGTTGTTGGCACCTTTCTGTCTTGCCAAAAGATAGTTTTGTATTACACTATGAGGAGGCATGGGACTCACGGCCCATGGCGATGGTGAGTGTAACTAGCAAGACCCGCCCCTGTCAATAAAGTCTTCTACAATTATAGTATAGGAATTCAGGACCATTGTTGTCAACATTTGTGTTATCTGTTTCTTCTCAAATGCTCAGCTCTCAACCTTTCTGCATTCACTTCTTACCTCATTCTCATTCCCATCCTGATGTGTCCCCTACACACAACAAGGTCCATGATATTTTGTTCCCATAAGTCCACCTCAATACATGTATCATTTATGTGTCACTTGCACATGTCTTTATATCGTTATAGAAGTCAGCCGTAACATTTTCCACCCATCTGTAGTTCACTATAGAGAATGTTCTTAGGGACTCTGCCATCTGCATTCTCCAGGTGTCACCCAGCCACCTGAACCTTTGTAGACTGAGCATTGAGAAGACTGTTGTAGTACCTGCTCTTTCCAATACCTCAGTGTTTGTGATCTTTTCCTGCCACTTAATGCAAAGTATTCTTCTTAGGCATCGCCTGTGAAAGCTATTTAGCCCTTTCTCGAGTACAAATAAATTAACCAAGTTTCACTGCCATAAAGCACAGTGCTGAGAACCCAAGCCTTATGGACAAGAGTTTTTGTTTCAGTTGTGAGCTTTCTGTTCTCCTAAAAGCTTTTTGTCAGTCTGCTCATTGTTGTCGCTGCCTTAGCTATCCTGATGTTGATTTCTTGGTCCAGTGATAGTTTGCTATTGCAGGATACTGACTTTTGCAGATAATGTTCTTGCATATAAGTAGGAAAGTGATAAGCAACAGACAGCAAGTCAGGTACACATATCCAGGTACACATGTACACATACTAAGTACACATGTACACACACCCAGTACACATGTACTCACATCCAGGTACATGTGTCAAAGTGACGTTCCTAATCTTCAGAAGTCCCATGTTCTAGGAGCCATGTTTGCCTACAACAGTAACCTCATCTGGGTGAGTGACGTTCCACCCCACCATGACCGCACAACTAATAATTAACTCCCATGCGCAACGAAACATTGCGAGCTGTACTGAGATAGAGTTACAGTTCACAATCCTCGTCTACCAGGAAGCTCATTTACCAAGAACGACGTCATCTACCACGAGCTTCAGATACAAATCCCCGTTATCAGTTGTAAGGTTAAAGGGGGACCCTTAAGTCTGGACTAGGCATTGATGTTAAATAGCTGTAATAAGTGCGCGTGTGGTTGGTGTGTGTGTGTGGTGAGTGTGTGTGTGGTGTGGGAGCGTATGCGTGTGTGTGTAAGATGTAAATGTGTATATATATATATATATATATATATATATATATATATATATATATATATATATATATATATATATATATGTGTGTGTGTGTGTGTGTGTGTGTGTGTGTGTGTGTGCGCGCGCCCGCTAGTGCCTGTGTGCATGTGGGAGTGCTTTCGTGTGGTGAGTGTGTGGTGTGTATGTGTGTTTTTGTGCATGCGTGCGCGCGTATAGTGTTTTAATTTATTTATTGACACACGAACTATTTAATTTCATAAATTGTTTTAGATTATATCCTAAAGGGAATTAATTATTCGACTAAATTATACTAAGGGACATAACTCTTAAACGCATTTAATTCTGTTAGGTTATTGCAGAATATATAGATTTATATGAACTGACTATTAAATCTTTAAAAGTTTAATTCAACAACTATATAGTACAATAATATAGCATTAAATTACACATTATTTCAATATTTTGGTTTTTATTAACTAAAAACAGTAACATTTCATAAATTTACCAAAGCAATAAATGTTAAGGTTTCAGATTTTTGACACCTGAAACTACATATGGCACCTTAAGAAACAGTAGTCCACGACTAGTTCGTGACAATATTTTTGGCTGGCACAATTATTCTTATTGTGCTTCATTAAATTATT